ATTTGAATCAGTGGTTCATTCAACATACCACGTGACACATAAAGATCGATGTTTAGGTGTGTTTTTTTTAATATTTACTTTTAAATTAAGAAATTAAATAATGTATATAGTAAAATTTGAATTATAATCTACAGTTTGATACCAAACTTAATGACATAAGTTCATAAAGTAGTAGTAGTTCAATAAAATTTGGAATGCGAGTCATCAAACGTGATGACATGGCCTTTGACCCCTGACCTGTCTGGAAATGGTTAAATGTAAAAGAAAATTTTTTAACAAATCATGAAAAAATGGATTCGGCAAGAGGGATCTGATTTTCTATTTGATAGCTCTGTAACCCAACAAGATTGAAGGCTATAAAAATTATGGTTTGTCTTAGCAATGACGATTTTACAGTGAGTAATTTACTTTTGATTTCGTACTTATTGGAGGGATGGTTAATAAAATAGAGAAGAGAAGATGCATAGAGAAAATGTGTCACACTAGAAGAAATTCAGGATTTTTTTTTTTTCTGCATTGTATGTAAGAACTTAAAACTTACATACTATTATCATGTATATAATTAGCTAAGATTTTATGCTATACTAATTGGAATAACGTAAACAAAAAGTAGATTAATAACATTTTGAATGTAAGTCACTAAAATGTCGTGACATGGACAGTAAAGGATGCCCATTGCAATAGGGTAATGTTGGTAAACTGTATTTTTTATCAATTTTATTTAAGTCACTATACATTAGAATTAGGTTTATGATTTATTAACATCAAATTATTTATTTATTATAACATCAAACTGTTTGTTATTAATATTATTTATCTTGAATTCACATTACTCATCTTTCAGAAGAACTGGTAAATCAATAAGAAATTACTTCTTTTAGAGTAGGTTCAGGTAATGTTTTGTAAATCTTCCGTGGACAGGAAACTATTTGTGATGTTTTTCTTTTGACAACATTTTGGTTTCTATTCCGAGGATTTTGTTTTTGCACCTGAAGAAGGCTTCAGTGTAAATACTGAAACATCATCAAAAAAATACATACACACAAACATTGGGTATTTTCCCATCCATGGAAAGTTCCGTTGCTCATACACAAATAATTATGTATTTCTTTGCTTACATATACATCCCAAAAATTGTGACAAAATACAGTCAAAAACATTATTATTTTAATGTAGCAGAGGAGCTCCAGGGAAAAGCATTAATAAGTGAAATCACACAGCATTAAACTTTTTTGTAAAATATGTGCCATTTATATTATGTTATTTAACTTATTTTGTCTACAATATATTGAGTAATAAATATGAGAGTGTAATGTCTTCATAATTAGTTTCCTACGTCATTAATATTCAAATATTTAATGACTAAGCACTAAGACACTGACCCTTGGATGAGTTGAGTAATCACATACCATGAGTATATGTCATTGACCAAAACACTAAAGCTCAAAATTTTACATATTATATTTTAAGCATAATTTCTTGGAATTAAATCTTTTTTTTTTTTTCTCTCTTACAAGTGGTCACTTGGGATAGTGAGCTGGTGGTGTTGACTGGGAAAGTGGGTTAGCCTTAACCTGATCTTTGGAAAATTATTTAAATTCTTTTTTTTAAGAAAAATATAAAAAATTTAGACACTTCATGATTTTGGTATGAAATAATAGATCTTTTGTTTGTTGACTTTATGATGGAAATTTCAAATAAAATCTCGTAGAGAAAAGTTTTTTTTTTGTAAGATAAAGAAGACTTTTGTTATTCTGGCAAATTTCCAAAGGTTGATTTTAGGAACACAGTTATTGTGTCACATGTACACCAGTGAAATAAAAGAAGTAAAAACAAATAGTGAATATAAAGATCAAGAAAACACAAATATACTAAAAAATGAATTGTAATATTGCAACATGTTTTGAACTTTTCAAAATGGTAAAATTATTTGGTAAGTATACATATATTTTTTCTATACTTATATGATAAAACTTGTATCTTATCTAAGTAAGCCAGCACTACACCGTATTACCTTAAAAAATGGTAGAAATCTCTACAAACAGTTAAATTATTTTTGAATTTACTGTAATAGATCACTTTCCTGTTTTTGTTTTTAAATTTCAAAGAAATATAATGAAACTGATAAGTAGTGTTACCGTGATATTTGTAATATGTATGTACTTAATTGCTGTTAATGTGAATGTTTTGCATTTAAAGGGTCACTTAAGAATTCAAGATTGTCTTCAAAAGTTTATCAGTACAGAATGCATTCAGGATGTTGATTGTAAAGAATGTAACTTGAGGAGGAAACAAAAAATGCTAGAAGACAAATCCAATGCTTCAGAGAAATCACAGTTTACCAAAAGGCTCATGATTGGAAAGGTATAGTGGCCAAACCAGTTGAAACATACCATTTCTTTATCGTAGATATTTTGTCCTACAAGTATTACTTTCATTCAAATAGCATAGTTCCAGTCACATTTTAACCATAATTTATAATTTTGTTGTAACATTTAAGCCCATTAGGATGTATATTTAATATATATGTTGTATGAATTTGCTTAACTGATATTTGGAACTAAATTCCTGGATTAAAATGATTTTGTAAATAATGTGATTACTCTAATGACTGAAATAAAGCAATGAATTTGTACTGATCAGACATGGTGAAAATATCTGTTTATGACAATTTCATTCTCTAAACTATGATGTAAAGTAGTACAATGATCTTACTGGTCTCTTCAGTACTTTCCAGCAGTTTTATTTTATCATTATGTTAGTGATTTATTTAAGAACCTAATAATATTTAAAATGTTTTTAGATATACAACAAATAACAAAATTTCTTGAGATGATAATGATGACAATTTAAAACTATGAGCAGTTTTGTTTGCATAAAATTGCAGTTTAGTTAATGTAATCCCCATAGTTAACCGAAATAGTAGACTTCCTCATGTAAGCTTATCTTTTGTGGGGGTTTTAAATTTCCCAGCAAGCTAACTGTCATGTTTGGGAAAGTTTCTACCAAATGAATATTTGTTTTAATCTCTTAGTCTTTAGGCATCTTTTTCAAGCTTTCAAGCACTCCATTATTGATAAAGTTGTCATTAAATGGAATCATAACTATTTTAGTCACATGATGAACTATAAGTTATTAGTGTTAGTGCAATAATGGTTGTGTTAACTCATGATTTGTTAGGACATTGCGATGTACTACAAGTTTCTAGTAGTATTTGTATTAATTTGTGATTTGTCAGGTAGTATTTGTGTTAACTCATGATTTGTCAGGTAGTATTTGTGTTAACTCATGATTTGTCAGGACATTCTGATGTACTACAATAGTAGTATTTGTGTTAATTCCTGATTGGGAATATTATTACACATGGTTCAACTAGCAATAAAACAAAACAATTTAAGCATAAAAAGATACATATTTTTACAAGTTTAAAGCTATTTAGTGTTTCATGTTACAATTTGAAGTCATTCTAGAAAGAAAAAGGGGTAATGTAGATTCATTTCGATTTTTTTTTATGTTTACGAGATCGGTCAAATTGACCAACCTTGTTTAGAGTTATAGTAGAGAAAATAACAGATAAAATATAAATGTTTACTAAAAGAAACGTGTGAAATGTATTTAGGAGATTTTAGAGATTATGCAAGTGAAATTTGTGATTTTTAAGATGATGACAAGTATTTTAATCTTAACATGAAAATCACTTTGTACTCATGGAGAAAGTTTTAGTAAAAATACCTCATTAAAAATTCTGATTTATTTTTCTACAAAGAACTCTTAATGCTTACTGAAAGCTTGTGAAATACATGAAGATATACAAAATATATTAGAAGTTACAACCAAAAGTACCCATCCCCAGTGATGGGAAAAGTTCAAGTTAATCTATCAATTTAGATTATTTCATGGATTTTAAAAAGGTTAATTGTGTTGCACTCTTGGTTTCGCTTAGAGCCAAAGCTCTGAGCTACTTATACCGCCCACCTCAAAAAGTAATTGTTGAGCATTTCAGTCATGCTAAGTGGTGCTCAACAATAACATACGGTAAGTCTACATTTTTATTCTTTAAGTTACATCACGTTTTGAAATGTGAATGATTGTGTGATTCATTCCAAACAATTTAGTGTAGAATATCTTGTTTGTGAAATAAATTTTAGCATAAACATTATTCATGCCTGTTCTCCTGTCATTTCAAAAGTGAATGTTGAGCTTTACCTGTGTTTGCAGATTTTCAACAGCACAGTAACAGCTGCTGTAAACGGGGGACAGACAAATGCTCAGACAGACACCACAGTTCACAATATATATAAGATAGTATAGAAACACTAAAGGTCAATCTTTAGGTCAAATCGACCAAGGTGGTAGTGAGAGGGTTAATCCACTTTCTTTTGTGGTCACCCGGATTATCATTTTTAGAAAGGTAGGCCGGTTGTATATACAGTGTACCTGAACTACCTTTTCAGTATGTGAATCCCTATATTGGGCAGTGAAATCTTCCCTTGAGTTACTTAAGGTCTGATTAGTTTGATACACCTTTATTAAACATCAAACCTCTAGAGTTATGAAAGTATTCTTCATTTTCTTTATTGAATATCAAGTCTTTAAACCACTAAGTTTGTTGCACAGCTTTCAGTCTTTGTTACTGTTACTGTTCCTCATCTGTATCTTTCTACCCCTATCCTTCCCATACCTCTTTTTCTCGTCATCCCACTACCTGATCCTGGTTCATTTTTGTTCTTGTCAGTGGATATTCTATCACATCTGGCTATGTGGGTACCCATTTCTTCCTCTTCACCAACTGTTGGTTTCAGTTTCTGCCAACAGAATTTTTCGTGTTCTTTCTCCCCATTTGTTTTTCCTTGTCTTCTCATTTCCTTTTCTCCTTCCTCTGCTCTCATCTGTGGCCTTTTTAACCTGGTCTGTGGTTGGCAATGGCTAATGTGTAGGACACCCTCCTACACATCCCTATTGCCCCATTCCCCAGATGTTTTCTACGTTTTGTCCATTAGATTCATGTCTTCCAATTCCTTCTTCTTCTTCTCTTTAACATAGTGTCAGCTTCTTTTATATTCATTTGTGTCATGAAGACTTTCTCTCATCATCTTGATGGCTTGGGGCTGTCATTCCTTTTCTTAGATGATTTGTTCTATTGGCCCATTCTGCATTTGTGACATTTTCAATATAGTAGGTCAGCTACAGGTCCTCCAACCAGAGTCTGTCCAGTAAAGTCAAGGTAAAAATACATTGTATGATTTGATTGAACCCTAACCACAGTACACTTATTGGCTCACCAACCACTTGTGTGCGGGTGCTCAGTTGGTCATGATCACGTTCCGTCCATCCCCATGATGCCTAAGGCTCTTTTGCCTTTCCCTCTCTTTCTTCTTGGACAAAGAATATACCCTGGTCTAGATAATATGTAGTCTCCCATGAGTGTGCTCCTATGGAGCTCCTGCCATTAGACGTCACACTCTCAGAACTTCCCTTTGAGTGATTTTTGAAGAGAATTCATCTAGGTAATATTTTACACTGGCTCCTTCACCATTTCAGTATGGGAGTTTAGCATTTCTGTGTACAGAGGTGACTTATAACTTCAGAAGTTAACATTTTCTTGATCTGAAAATGTATTTCCTGTAGTTACTTGCCTCTGTACACAATCCCATCCAACCTCCCCACTTTTGGTGCAATATTTTTATTTCCTCATCTAATAATGAAGTTATCACAAATGCAAGTGCATTGGGGAGCTACTGCACATGGAGGTTGTGTTGCCCTCCTGTTAGTGGAGGGCTATTGTCACATGATGATGTTATCATGCACCAGAACAGTATTTCACATTAAATACGTGAATTTAAGAGGGAGCTAGCCCAAGCCTAGTGACATGCAAATCTCATAGGCAGACATATGAGGGAAATAGCATTTTTGTGTGTGGAAGCGAATATCTATTGGAAATACATTTTAAAATTAAGAAAGTGTTAGCAAGTAAGTGACTGTTTTAGCATTATTTGTGAAATTTGTTTTATCATTGGGTTTTGATGTTTTGTTTTTCTTTACTGAAAAAAAATCATTATGCTTTAAAGCATTTTCAATAACTTGTTTGTGTGTGTGTGTGTGTGTGTGTGTGTGAAGGAAACAGGCTTAATTAAACTTTACCTAACATTAACTACAAAACAAACATTTTTATAGGTTTCTTTCCCATTCCATAATGCAAAAATATTAATGCTTAATATTAACTAAGACAAAATATGATAGACCTCTAATTTGTTAATTATTAATATAATTATGGGAACACTAAGCTATATGTATTTTTCACATTCTACTCATTACCTTCACAATATTCCATGATTTCACACAGTCTTCCTTTCAACCTCTTGAAAAACTTTTTAACTTTGAAGATTTTACTGACTAATTTGATGTTTTAACTGTGTGTTTGGTCAAATTATATGGCCTGCTTCACGTAAATTTTCCAATGATGATGGTAGATATATGGCTACTGTTTCTCCTTTGAAGATGTAATTGAACTTTCATATTAAGATCAACGTATCTTAACCCTTGAGGTTGAGACTTTTGTGCACTATGTATGTGTCCTGTGAGTGAACTGAGAAAAGTAGGTTTTGAAGCCTGATTACTGGTCTCTTTTTGTCACACTCCAACCTCTCTCAAAAGATGGTTGACCTTCATTTCCCTAGGGTTTCAAACAGTGAAGTTAGTGAAACCACAGATATAATGGTTTTCTGAGTAATTAAACTTATTATTCAGATTGATACCTAACTTGATGTGTGAGGGAGGTTGTTCCTCAATTCTCAAGTATGAAGTATTTCCATTCCATGAGCCTTTCTTAAAAGTACTGATGTACAGTTCTCAAGTTTCGTATACCTGGCTGTGTAGTTGAAGAATGTACATACTTGTTTTTTGTATTGGCAGTGTTCCTAAGAAGTCAATCCTGAAGTGTTATTAGGTGATTCTAAAATCAAGCAGGTTTGTATGATATTTAGCTTAGTTTTTGTAAGCCACATTTCACTATTACATTTTTCGAGAAAATTGTCATTTAAATAGGTGTTATTCTCTAAAATATTTCACTCTCTTCCACATAGCCAGTTAGGTTATGGTATATTCGAAAGACCAGAAGGTTTCATTATTCCTCTACATTTTATTTATTACTTATTATTTCATTCAGAGGATGTCATTAGGATTGCTGATTTCTTTTGTTTCTCAGTAATATTTAATCTTTCAACTCTTCTTGTATGTGATCATCAGTTGACTGCTTTAGCTGCATTTTGTTAATTGCTAAAGCAGCTTTCAGCTCTCTCTATAGGCAATCAGCAGTTCCACTGATAGAATTTTTTATTATATATTTTTCATACTATTTAATATGCAGGTTTCTGTATATTTTGAAGCCATGTTGGTGCATAAAAATTCTAAAGTAAAATTATATTTACAAAACTACGTTTTCTAGAGTTATAAATTTGCAAATGATAAATTTGGTCAAGGTTGTGGGTAGTGACTTAATGTTACATTTTATAGCAGGATTCCATCAAGAAGGTTACCTACTGTTTCATGGAATAGGTTATATTTTATCTTATAGTATCCTTTGTATGAGGAATAACTTCTAGAACTGTCAAATGAAACAGAGATGCCTCTGGACACTTGTGATCCTATTAGTTTTGGAATTTTCAACGAGATTTGTTTTGACTTGAAAAAGTTAAGGTTTGCTACTGAAGTCTCATCTTTGTTTCAGCTTCCTTAAATGTTTACTTCTTAGCCTATAGATTGTGTTTACTTCTTAGCTTATAGATTGTGTTTACTTCTTAGCCTATAGATTGTGTTTACTTATTTTTTCACAAACAACACTACTTTCAGTTCCTACCAAAGTTTATTTCCACTTTCCCTTATTCAGATATAATTTATTTTATGTACTTTTAATTGAGATCAATTTATTATTTTAATCCTAACACAATATTTCTATCTAATTAAACAATCAAGAAACGTGTATCTGTCCTTTAGTTAATAAAGTTCTTGTTTCTGTTCATTTTCACATTGAGTCTTGTCTCTTTACTCCATCTAAAACAAGTCACTGTGGCCATCTTTTAAAATATGAGATTTACAAACATTTCTTTATTATAAAAATCAGGTAATTTGGTTTATTCTTGGAATACCACAACATATATTTTTAGTCATACATTAGGTCTATAAACTTATTTCATTAACATTCAATAGTAATATGTAAGTGATTTGTGTTAATTACTATATTTTTAATTTTATTATTGTGGATTTGATTTTGATTTATTTGTTCTTAGAGTTTTCTCTGTTTTATTTTCAATTAAAAGTTCAAATCATAGGCAGGCTCCTACGAGTAATGAACAATTTCTTTTAGTAAGCTCATGTGCCTAATTTCTAATGTAAAAATTTATTTTTAATTTTTCAATACCTATTTCTACATCAAACTTTAATTTTTATGTTGTGAAGAGACTCACCTTTATTAGAAGTACTGAGTTTAATAGGTTGAAATCTCAGTTACAGGAGATATTCATTATTGTTGTGGTTGTGAATCGTAAACATGTTGTATTATGTTTTGTATGTGATAGTTGGTGAAAACGGTTTTATCAATGCCTTGTTAAATATAACTTATTATCTCACATTTGAGAAATTTATCATCTTGGTAATTTGATGTGAACGATAAAGTAATTTTCTTTTTTATCCTTGTAGTTTACTTAAATTTCAAGAGTTATTTTTTGTTTTCAAACTCAAAACATTTATCACTGCTTTTTTTAGCTTCCAGACTGCTTATGTTTCCATCTTCAGAGGACAATCTGGTTGTCAGATGGGATGCCCACAAAAAGAGGGGATCACATAGTTTTCCCAGAGTTCCTTAGTATGGCTTCATACATATACCCTTACTGTCAGAAGTATCAGAGTTGTAATATGAAGTCCAAATCTAGACTTGTTGGTGGAAGAACCTTGGAAAGCTTAAAGTAAGAAAATTTTAAGATTTTTTTGCTTATATGTAGATACTCATGTTTTCAGGAAAATACAAGTAACAGTTGTTGTAAATACAGAATTTATTTCATTACAAGAAACTTTACTGAGTGAAATATTTTTTTTGTCATTAAACAATGGTTGTAGTGAACCAGTTATTCATTTTTAACATTCTTCTAATTGAATCCCGTTTTCTTATTTTAATTTTTAGATTTGATCCAAGAACATTCTGATTTTCCCATTTCTGTGTTGAAAGGTTTCAGCAGACTTCTGCTTTTTTATTTGTTATTTATGTTTTCGAAACTACTTACCTTGCATCTGGAGCAAAAACTTGTAAGATGAACATGTTTTTGTAATGTTCACCCCACAGATTTATAATATGGTATTCATACACTACTTGTTTAATATTAGGTTAAATGCCATTTTTAAACTATTAATTATATGTTATTCTGTCAAAGTTTTGTGTTAATGGTTTAGATCTCCTCCAATGTGATTTAGCAGTGTGCTGGATTTTAATAAATTTAATTAGAAGAGTTCCACTATGCCTAAATGTGCCACAGAATTTTCTTGTGATTGATAGGACAAAGTTTACAAGATGAGAAATTGGTGCAAGAAGTGAAACAATGCGGAGACTTATTACATGTGTTTTATCACGTCCCTCAGGAGCCAAGGGGTGTCTTTATACTACAATTTGTTGAATATTAAAAGTAAATTCAATCCAAAAACTCCCAAAGAGGGTGGTTTTGGACGTATCTTTTTGAGACAAGTTTTCATTTGTTAATTGATAAAATTTTAAGTGAAATACAACATCCTCAAGTCTCCATACTAGTTAGTACTAAGGTCTACCCGCTGGGAGTAAAGTCAGTATATATCAATAAAGCCACATTCTCAGCATCGTTAATTAAACAATTGCCAACCTTTTATACTTCTGTTATCACCTTTTTATGTTTAGCTTTCAGTTGAGATACGAACGATTTGGTAGGGAAGGTCAAAGCATCACGATAGTCAGCAGTAGGATGAGCAGACAGAAACACTATGAAAGCAGCTACAGGCATAATATTGTACTCAGTTTGCTGCATAATATCTACCAAAGTGGTTCAAAATGGTTCAAGAATATCTCTGCATGTCATTCAGAGATTCCATGCTTCTTGTGGTTGGTCGATAAGCTCATGATACATTGATGGATTTCAGTCACCTTACCACTTCATATCACTTTTTTCAGTTGTGGGAAATGCCTTCTTTTGAGCAAATAAAAATTTCAAATTAAGAAAAACTGGATTGGATAGTTGTTGTTTTTTTTCACTAAAAATGTCCCCTACTGGCTCGTGAGGGGCCTGTTAAGTATTTATGATTTGTGTTGATAGAGGATTCTGTGAGTTTGGGCAGTGTGCAACCAAAACATCTCATTAGAGCACAGAAGGGACACAGTCAACATTAAAGAAAAAGAGAACTGGTGGAGTGTTTTTGTCTAACAATTCTCATTCAGACAAGTCTTCTTTTGCAGCCTGCTTTCGTACCTTCATCATTCTCTGAACTTGGTGACATTTATCAAATTGTTTTTGATGGTTTTGAAGTTTATGAAGCCTTTGAACTTAGTAAAACTAAAGTGTTCTGTAACAGCTTTTCAGAAGAAACACAGTACAAAAAGTTCTGTTGTTCAGACAATCCTGGAAAGTGTTGTGGATAATTTAGATATTAAAATATGTTAACAAGATAACAAGGTGTTACCTAATGACAAAACAGAATTCTTTCACAAAGATAAAAATAATGATCCCCAAACCTGTGAATCATTCAGTATTGCCCCTCGTTCTTTTCTCCAAACAACATTATTTCAAAGGAAGTTAACTCTTTCTACATGGTCTCAGTTGAATTGACCGATCGTGTGACCATTTTGTACTAATTAAAAATCGTTATAGTTTTGATACTACTAAATTTTAATATAGTACGTGTAACTTCACAAAATTTGGTAGACTTTCAGTAAATATTACAAGTCTTTCAAATAAAAAAAAATCAAGTTTTTAAGTGAAGTATTGCTAATAAACTAAAAAAAGACTTGTCTTCTTTTTTAGTAGTCCAAGTGCAAAGTGATTTTCATGTTAAGATTAAAAATACTTTGTATCTAAGAAATCTCAAATTTCATTTATGTAATCTCTAAACCTCCTAAATACATTTCAAGTGTTTGTTTGCAGTAAAACTTAATATTATATCTGCTATTTTCTCT